TTTTGGTATTGGCTTGGAGATGGACCGGGCTTGGGTGGGGGAAATGCAGAGCTGAGTCAAGGGAACGAGGGAAAGTCAAGCGAGGATGGGTTGGGCAGGTGAGGTGCAGGCCTAGGGCCAGCAATACAAGGCTTGGGCGTCGATGGGCCATGGACGGCGCAAGACGTACTGGACTTCGTCGCGGACGGCATCCAAGAGGCCACGTCGGCCCGGGTGGCGCAGCGAGGCCGAATACTCATCCATGCGGGTGGTTGCATCGCCGTATTCGACAGGGCCCGGGACGGAGCTTTGAAATTGGTTCTCGGGTTGATAGCGAGGGCCTGGGCGATTGAGGCTCATGGGCACGCGGCGCGAATGCATGGTCTCCATGCCAGTCAAAGGATAGGTGCCGGGACCGCGTCGAGTCGACTGAACATACATACGTAGAGCGGGAATTGGAAAAAAAAAGGCGGTGAGCAGACTGCCCAGAGCGCATGGTGATGGCGCGTTTGCGATGTTTTTGCTGCCAGGACATACGTCTAGAAAGCTCGCTTTGCGGCGAGCTTGCAGTTGCGAGGAGGCCTCGAGGCGACGGCGCTGGGGATGATTGGCCTCGAGAGACCATGCGCTCTCTTTTTCCAGCCTGCCCAATGCGCGTGTTTGCAAAAGAAGAGGGTCATGGTGGGAAGAATGGAAAGGGGAGGAAAAGACAGAGGAAAGAAAAGAGCGGAAGGACGTGGGCTGGGAAAGGCCCACCTTTTGTTAAAGTGGCTGATCGCAGGGTCGGTTTCGACATGATGGGAGCCCGGACCGCGCTGGCGCTCCTACATTCACAAGCTATCATGAGCGGGTGGAGGCGATGGGTCTGACTCGACCTTGGGTGTCGAGGCAGGGGCCGGGAACAAGAGAGGGGGGGGTGGACCCGTGACAACTGACCTCGGGCACGACGCGATAGGCGGCGGCGGTAATGCAGGTACCGGGGCGGAGGCTGCGAGGGTAGGCGCCGGCAACCGTGAAGCGCGGCGAGGTGCTGCCAAAGCCGGCGGTGGCACGGTGGGGGGTAGGCTGATGCACGTTGGAAGTACGGGCGGGGACCGGGGTTCTAGAGGATGTGCTGGCCAGTGCGGCAGCTTTAGCGCGGCGCTGGCGTTCCTTTTTGGACAGAGGGAGGATGGCCGAGGGGGCTCGGGGCGTGTAGGACT